ATATATACAATGACCATGGGGGGGTCAGACATACAGTGTTGGGTTGGGGGTGGTCATATATACAGTGACCATGGGAGGTGTCAGACTTACAGTGATGGCTGGGGGGGTGTACATATATACAATGCCGGGGGGGGGGGTGTACATATTTACAAATGACCTGGGGGGGGTCAGACATACAGGTAATGGGTTGGTTGGGGACATATATACAATGCCAAAGGGGGTCAGACATAGTGATGGGTTGGGTTGGGCGTGTGTACATATATACAATGACCATGGTGGGGGTGGGGGGGGTTAACACTTGCCCATCAGAACATCGAAACTTTGCTGTATTCTGGTGGTTCAATTAAACGTGCCTTTTAAGCATTGGAGTGCTTCATTTTTCATAGACATACGATGACTGGCCAGGGTTGGAAAAGGTTAGACATACAATGACCAGATCGGGAGAGGTTGGGGTCAGACATATGGTGACCAGCCTGGGGTTGAGGGAAGTCAGCCATACGGTGACCGGCACAGGTTTGGGGAGTCAGACATACGGTGACCGGCACAGGCTTGGGGGGGTCAAGCATAGGGTGATTGCCACAGGGTTGGGGGGGGTGTCAGACATATAGTGACCAGCATGGGGTGGAGGGTGGGTCACGGGGTTGGTCAAACATATGGTAACCAGCCTGGGGTGGGGGGGGTCAGACATCGCAACCCGCATGGGGTTGGTCAGACATATGGTGACCAGCCTGGGGGGGGGTGGTCAGACATATGGTGAACAGCCCGAGGTGGGGGTGAGACATACGTTGACTAGCACATGGAGCGGTCAGATGTACAGTGACCAGCTTTGTGTGAGGGGGTCAGATGTATATTGACCGGCTGGGAGGGGGTGTCAGACGTACAGTTAACTGCCCGGGTGGGTCAGACGTACAATGACCGTCCATTGTCAGATAACCATGTACTTTACATTGTAGATGGAGGCCCTGGAGCAGTTTCTGTCAGGAGATGAAGAAAGCCAGTTCTCCGTCACTACTGCTAAACTGGAGGTTAGCTCATGTGAATATTGGTCTTTGTTTGCTTTCAAATGTACATAAAGTGCATATTTGGATTGTGAGTGGTAGTGCAGCAATTTGGTTTTACTTTTCTTAAACGAACATTAAAATTTAATTTTACATAAATTTACAATTTGAAAAGAACATTGGTTATTCCTCTTCTTAAAAAAACAAACTAAAAAAAGTAAGCTCCATTCTACAGAATAGGTCTGTCTCAGCACTGTGTGAAGGATAGAGTGCAAGCTATCTGCAAGTGATAGTTATTAATTTTCCCTCTCCTAATGCTGGTTGGTTCATAGTTCTGATCATTCATTGCTGTCAGTGGCTGAGCTATGTGTATACATTTGATAAGGAAATCTTTATCTGGATTGAGGGGGCGTGACTAAAGAGGCCGGCAATTTGTTCTGGATTCTGCTAAACATGTATTTATATGAAGATTTGAGCATGCAAACAATGCAGCAAATTAATTCATTAAAACCTATCAAATGTATTAAAGTGGGGTTTAATGAGTCATGTTTTGTTTTTTTAAATAGTTTACCAACATATAAGGGCACTGGTATATTTTGGGAAATGAAGGCATTGAGTATTCACTATAAATGGATTTATTATTTCTTAATATTTTCTTTTTTTCAGACTCTCATGCAGTTGTTGTGTGATGAAGTGGAGACAGAAAGGGTTCTGCTAAGAAGAAACCAGGCAGAGTTAACAGAGTTGGAGGCGGATACTCTAAAAAGGTTTATCTATAAATAGAACAATACATTCTCTGTATTCTTTTCACGTTAATGTTATTCTTTATTATAAAGGACGCATTATTTCTCAGTTTGTAGCATAATCCACCCATCTGACTATTACTGAGGTGTATTCCTGGATTAATCCAAATTGACACCTGTTAATAGATGTACTGCCCAGATGGTGTGGAGGATCATTTCCTGTGACTAGAGAGATGTTTTCTATCTCTATATCCATGTATGATATTAACAATTTATAACGGTATTTGGTATCTGCTTAGAATGTCCCAATTCCTAAACAGTCCGTAGTTTTATTCAGGAGTTCAGAAAGAGAGTCCTTCGTCTCTCGGATGGCTCAGACCATTAACCTGCGTGAGTTGCTTGAGGAAGAAGCAGAGACTAAAAGACAACTTGATAGAATCTTACAGGAGTTGGAAATATTACATAAAGGTTCAGACACAGGATCCAGGTATTGTAAAATATGGAGTCAACACTTCAGCCTCACCTCTGATTTTATAAATAGTGTTTTGTAGAGTGGAAGAGTGAATCAATAAGTCTAACTATATATATTTAGAAGAGCGTGATAATGTGACTTGTCATGAATGGAACAGAGGGGTGAGAGAAATGAAAAATTACAGGGACATTCCAGAACCAAAATAAAAATCACAATTTAATTGCTATATTTACAGCGAAAACATGCAGTTCTTTAATTATACCTTTTCATTGGCTGTATATCTAAAACTGCTTGCAGAAGCTGTAGATCTCTTGTCTGCAGCTTTTACAAGCTCTCTTCTTCTTGCCCAGAGTTTCGGTGGCTGTCCAATCACAGACCTCCCAATGCAGCTCAATGAGAAGTCTTTGTAAGGCAGGTGCTCTGAGCAATTGGCTGCCTCTTGAGTTTAGATCCACTGAGCTAACCAAACCAGAAAATAACGTGACCAGTTGTCTGATTGGCAGCCCAGGCAGGTGTAAAAAGGTTAATTTGTCAAAGTGACAATTTCTATTAAAATCTGCATTTTTTTTTTGTAAAATTGAATAAAAAGAGGACACACTCTTTGCAAATTAAGCGCTTCCGGTAGCTGAAGTGCTTTAATTGTTTGAAACATTCCTCTAAACAAAAGATTTTTGTACTGTGGATTTCTGCTGAATGAAACAGTAGTAAAGAAACAGGAATATTTGACCCAAATAATGCTATTTGCAATGTTCATTCTTAAACTGATTTAGGAATTTGTATGGTGAATACTCCCAACAAGTAAAAAAGAAAAAAACACTAAATAAATTGGCCTGAATGAAAGAGATTGTGAGTGGGAAAGCTTCAGTGTGACAGGAAGGTGAAATAAGTAGAAAGGTGATTACAATCTCAAACTAATCTGCAGTAAGTGATGTATGGATTTATAATGTGCTGGACCCGTTACTGGAACTAACATATTGCTCTCTGCAGTGAAGCAGCAGCTGAGGATATATTGGAGAAACTTGAAGTGAATACAGATAATGCTATCGCTTCGTTGACTGAGAAAGAAACGCACCTCTTACAGCAAAAAGAACAACTGTTAAAATTAATGGAGACTACGCAGAAAGCGCTAGCCGAGTGCAAGCTGAAGGAGCAGAAAGGTGAGCGGCAAATAGCATCTTGCTGTAGTGTAGTACTGAATGTAGAGATGAATGGCATGAAGTGTTTGCTGGAGTGAGTCGATCTAGAATAAAGGTGACTAACACAGGATTATTCAGTAAAGTGAGAATTCATGGTAGCTGAAGTTAAAGCTTAACTGACTTACAGAATAATTTCCACTTCAGCTATTTTGACCTTAAATTTGAAATTCACTTTGAATAACAGTGTGTGTTTTGTAATCAGTGTCATTTAGCACTGAGCTATGGTCTCTAGTGATCAGGTGAGTGACAGCTACTGTTTTTTTTATATAATATTAATACAGTTTAAAATGAACTCATGCTTCCTCTTTCTGCAGCACAGGAAAAGCTGTGTGAAGCTGTCCAGGGATCATCTAAATGCTCACAGCAGAGGGAAGCTGACCGTCTGTTAGACACATGCATTAAGGAAATGGGTTTACTGCACATTTTGTCAAACAAGAAGAAATAGCAGATTTACTCAGCAACATTGCCTTCTAATATATGCAGTTCTGATAAATTATAAAGTAAGTTATGTTTTCAATGTAGTGTGTGTTACCTGCTTCAGAGATTTTCCTTTCTCTCCTCCTATTCTGACACTGTGACAATAGACCTACTGTTGAAGATCAGTGAGCGGTGATTAACAAATCTTTGTAGAGGTAAAGGGACACTCCGGGCATCAATACAACTAACCTTATCATGCTGTATTTTTTGCATTAAAAAATAAAAGATTGGGGGTGGGGCCGGGCCACTGACTGAGCAGGACGCAGGTTGAGGGAGCTCATCAGCCTAAATACTTTTCAAAGCGAAGAAAAGGACAATCTACCCTAATTCCTCCTGACATGGGCATGCATCGACAGAGGAGTGTATGGGCAACCTATGGGGGTGAAACCTAGAAGGCAGAGCGCACTCTTGAAGATGAGGGCTTCCTGCGGCCTGCAACTTCCTACAGGGCGGGGGATGCGGCCGGTCCCCCGTCCATCATCCACCCCGCGGACAGCTTGGGTCCTGGAACTAGCCTGGGATATGGAGAATTCCTCTACCCTGAAACGCAGCATGGCTCACGCCTGTGGACAGTGCACATGTGGAAGCTGGGTGCCCAGCCAAGGTATCTGCTTACTCTCCAACTATAGGAGCTGGCTGTTAATTAAGCTAAGTCTGACAGGGACTCTAACCCAGTCTGTAACAGACCAAACCACACACAAGCGACTACCACCTTATTATTTGGTTTAATATTGTTATTTTATTACTATGTTTTTATTAGTCTGTCTTACTCATTTTGGTCACTCATCCCTATCAATCTGCCTAGGATTTGTATAGCCTAGTATCACTCGCTAGTCTCTCCTACCACTGCTCCCCTTTGTGGCATTAATACCACTATTGTCAACTTAGTAATACTCTTGGGCGCAGCGCCCTTACTCAGCATTACAATAAGCTCCCAGTGCATCTGAGCCTCCTGTTATGATGGATAGGCAGTTATACACAACCTGCTCTACCATACCAGCGTTACTTGTCGGCAGCTCCCAATGTTTTACCTAGTTCACACTGAAGGCCCAGTTTATTTGTCTGACCTGCCATTTTAAGCGCAGTCTAACTAATAAGCCTGTATTACTCTCGTTTTAACACTATCGACTCAAATTTAAAATTGTGCATGTATGCTGGACTACCCCATTATGTGTTACAAAATTGCTTGAGGATTGCCGTCGGGATGCCTCACGCACGTATGTTATTCTCCATATGCACTACAAAAATAAAGAATAAAAAAAAAAAAGGGGGGTTTGCAGTATACTTGCATAATCCTGCCTCTTTAGCCACACCCCCTCACTCCAGAAAAAAAGACTTCCTTATGAAATGGATGTACACTGCTCAGCCTCTGACAATACTGAATGATCTGAACTACAAAACAACCTGCATTAGAAGTAGAGGACATCCAGGAAGACATACAGTAAGGATATCACTACCTGTTTGCTGTTTCTCTGACTGCAGCCAGGTTGTTAATTAAAAAGCTGTTCACTCAGTGCTGTTGGGGTTGAGACTGCGCATACATTTGATAAGGAAGTCTTTCTGGCATGAGGGGGTGAGGCTAAGGAGAAACATAGAATGTGACGGCAGATAAGAACCATTCGGCCCATCTAGTCTGCCCAATTTTCTTAATACCTTCATTAGTCCCTAGCCTTATCTTATAGTTAGGATAGCCTTATGCCTATCCCACGCATGCTTAAACTCCTTCACTGTGTTAACCTCTACCACTTCAGCTGGAAGGCTATTCCATGCATCCACTACCCTCTCAGTAAAGTAATACTTCCTGATATTATTTTTAAACCTTTTGTCCCTCTAATTTAAGACTATGTCCTCTTGTTGTGGTAGTTTTTCTTCTTTTAAATATAGTCTCCTCTTTTACTGTGTTGATTCCCTTTATATATTTAAATGTTTCTATCATATCCCCCCTGTCTCGTCTTTCCTCCAAGCTATACATGCTAAGATCCTTTAACCTTTCCTGGTAAGTTTTATCTCGCAATCCATGAACCAGTTTAGTAGCCCTTCTCTGAACCCTCTGTAAAGTATCAATATCCTTCTAAAGATACGGTCTCCAGTACTGTGTACAATACTCCAAGTGAGGTCTCACCAGTGTTCTGTACAATGGCATGAGCACTTCCCTCTTTCTACTGCTACTACCTCTCCCTATACAACCAAGCATTCTGCTAGCATTTCCTGCTGCTCTATTACATTGTCTGCCTACCTTTTAAGTCATCAGAAATAATCACCCCTAAATCCCTTTCCTCATATGTTGAGGTTAGGACTCTATCAAATATTCTGTACTCTGCCCTTGGGTTTTTACGTCCAAGATGCATTATCTTGCACTTATCCATGTTAAATGTCAGTTGCTACAATTCTGACCATTTTTCTAGTTTACCTAAATCATTTGCCATTTGGCTTATCCCTCCTGGAACATCAACCCTGTTACATATCTTAGTATCATCAGCAAAAAGACAAACCTTACCATCAAGGCCTTCTGCAATATCACTAATATTAAAGAGAATGGGTCCAAGTACAGATCCCTGAGGTACCCCACTGGTGACAAGCCAAAGCTTCGAATTTACTCCATTGACTACAACCCTCTGTTGCCTGTCACTCAGCCACTGCCTTACCCATTCAACAATATTGGAATCCAAACTTAAAGACTGCGGTTTATTGATAAGCCTTCTGCAACAGTGTCAAAAGCCTTACTGAAATCTAGGTAAGCAATGTCTACTGCACCACCCTGATCTATTATTTTAGTTACGAAATCAAAAAAATCAATAAGATTAGTTTGGCATGATCTCCATGAAGTAAACCCATGTTGTCTCTGATTTTGAAATCCATGTGTTTTTAGATGTTCAACAAAGGGTAAAATAGGACTTATGGTGCTGCATTCTGCAACACAATATTTTGTGCAGAAATAAGTATTTGAGTATGCAAAAGAATTCAGCATATATCTAGTCACTACTTTCAGGGGTGCACATTCACGTCTTACAAATTTTTTTTATACCAACAACTTGGGCAATATACAGGCAATCCCCTTAATCCTAAACACATGGTATCTCTTACCTGTATTCTTAGTGCACACTCTTATTATGCTGGTACTGTACCCCCCAGGCTTCTCCAAAGGATGGATCCGTCTCCGGACTGGCTTTACTGTGACCAGGCAACAGACACATTAATACAGATTTGGTGGGAATACCCCGGAGTGCAGCCCCTCTGACAGAATGTTTATAATATGCTTAAAGTATTCTTAGATGTTTTTCTCCCTTTTAAGCCTGCTTCTATGCTACTACATCACACCACTGTATTTGTGTTTGTCGTTATAAGAAGTCTATTACTATTCGTATAGTAAACATTGTCAACACGAAGAATCCCACAGTTCTGGAAACAGTCTGTTAGCCCACCACTGCTGGTGTTATTTACTCAGATGAGGGAGCTCCATGTGCTTGAGTTGCACTATGGGGCTAAAGTCGATCCATCACTTTACACGTCACTTTGGACGCACTGGCTACTCACCACTAGCACTGAAGGCTTTCTAAGGTTATTTTAGTCTCTCCTTATATTTAGCCAATGCGGAGTGCCCTGCAGTGCATAACTAGCACTCCCCCCCCGCCCCCACCAGACGACTACCTCCTCCACCTTAAAATCTCCCCTCTTTTCTTTCTTCTCCCCAAATTGCATAGCAGGGCTATGGAGCAAAGTTTATGTATGGAAATCTTAATTTGTAGTATCACAGCAGATTTGCTCATATTTCTATTTACATTTTTGATCTCTAATGAAGGGGGTGACGTTATTGAATGTATTTTTTTCATGACTTGAGAGACCTGAAAGTCCTATTTTACCCTTTGTTCTCAAAGCTTTGAATATAATATGATTAACAACAACAAAAATGACATCATACCAATGAGGCCAAAATGTATTCATTAAAGTTGTATTGGTGCCAAGAGTGTCCTTTTAAAGCAGAGGTAAGTAGCAAACCTTCAGGGATATTCACAAACAGAGATAAATTGGCTGTAATTTCCAAGGGATATTTTTTCTGTTTTATCCTGACATTTACAGATCTGTGCTGAATGTTTGCTATCTCGATTTTTAGTGAGTAACTCGGGGAGCTGCTCACTGTACTGGATATTGCGGATGAGGGACTGGCACATTCTCAACCTCCAGTGTTTTTCCAAATCCAGCTATTTATATCTTAATACTTTCATTTTAATCCTCTAATTTTACACAATTCCCTATTTAGTTAGTACACGCTAATGATTCAGGGTGTTTTTTTCCATGTGTGCAACTGTATTTAACGATTACTTGCTGCAGTCACTAGGTGGCAGTGTGAGGCTCCATATGTAGCAGAGAACCCACCAACAATATTAGATTTTTAGAGACAAGTTAAAAAAAAATATGGATTATTTATAAAGTGCCAACAAATTCTGTAGCGCTGAACGGTAGCAGTAAGTGAGCATTGGGACAGTGATACAGATGCAAAATAACTGATTTGTTGCAACACTTTTTTATTTGTTTTTATTTTTAAAACTAACAGTAATTTGATTTATTTAATAGAGATAAACATTCTGCCTTCAATCAAATCAAAGCACTTAAGAGCCTTCCAGGAATCAGAATCCAAGCCAGGATTTCTTCCCAAAGCAATGGATATGCATTGCTATTAATGCAGCTGGAATATTGGTAGTTATTCAATAAATAGCGCACAGCGAGGAGCTATTTATTGACAGTTCATCACTCCTCAAAGAATTTCCTTTTTTTGTTCTTATTGTGTGGACTATTAAATTAACTGGCTCAGAATGACTTAACCTCGAGTCTGCTCAAATCATGTCACTTTTTATGCAAATTTAAGATTTTAATTTCTTTTTTTTAACAACCTGGAAGCTGTCTAGGACGCCAAACCATTGACGGACGTAAAGAAAATTGAACTATGCTCTGTAACATATAATTGAAAACAATTCAAAGTATTGCAAAAACTAGATAAAGCCTGTTTAGTACACACTGTGCTCTTAATAGCTAATAAAACAAATGGTGATGTATGTATTTATATATTCACATAACTTTAATTTAAAAGGTGTTTTCTTTTTTTTGTTTTTTTTTTCATATTAAAATGTTTTAAAGCTCCAGCAGAGGGCGCAAAGAAACTGTTTAATCTTGTTATTTTGTGAGAAACTTGTTATTTTGTAATGAATGTAAGTCTTGTGATTGGTGATAAAAAGTAAATGCCTGGTGCATTTAAAATATCAGATGAAACTATAATGGATGTAAGATGTTACATTTATTTTTGAAAACCAAGTTTAATAAAATAGCCATGCTGTATACTGAATAGAGAATGGGCAGAGGACATCATTCAAATACCCCCCAGTCTGTGTGTGGTTTTATGCTAAATAGCTTTGTTTAAGCCCCAAACACAATTAGAAAGCTGTATCGGTTACAATATAAAGTAAATGAGTAAAGTATGGAACAAAAACACACATACAGTTTGTATTTATATTTACATGAAGCTGGGGCCACCCAGAGTGCAACATCCACAACTTATTAAAATTCTCAGCAACTCCTCACTATTGTGATGAAGGCAACAGCATCACACACCCTTGACAGTAAAATAAGGCCAGGTGTAGTGTTTATCATGCATTGCTTACACCTAGCAAGTGATGGGTTAAAGGGATTCTACAGTGCCAGAAAAACAAAGCCGTTAAAACCCTTCAGTCACTTACCTGAAGCCAGCGCTGCCGACGCTCCACCAATGAGCTGAAGTGGTCTGGGTGACTATAGTCTCTTTATTAGCTAGCAGGGGATTTATCATACCTATCCCCTTCCTAGCCAGTATGATCCTTCTAAAGGTCATCACTGGCAGGGCCGGACTGGGGACAAAATTCGGCCCGGGAATTTTTTAATCAAAGCGGCCCACTGAGAAGGGGACGGGGCAGATAGGGTGTGTTTTGTCATAACAAATGACAAGCATGCACCCTGTAAAAGTAAGCATGTTGGTTCAATGCTCTTCCATGCTCTGCTAAAGAGCTCTTGCATGAGAAAAGGGCCCTGTATTTGTTCTGCACAGTGCAAGCAAATTTAATAACATGTTTACGCTGTGTTTGCTTGCAACTTGTCTCTGGTGTCTCCATAAATGGGATACCAGGAGACAAAAGGGCCAGGAAAGAGTATTGTGCATGTGTTTGGTGCCTGCTTGAGTGATTGTGTGTGTGTACAGTGAGCTGATTGTGGTGTGGTATTGTGTAAATAGGTCAGTATCAGTCATGGTGTAATGTATGTGTGGCTGGTTGCTGTATAGTGTGTGTGTATAGGCGGCATAGTGTGTTTAACCTCTTAAGGACTAAGCCAAATGTACACGTTGTGAAAAAAACAAAAAACCTGGCATTTGCGCTACATGTCTGTCCAACCGTAATTCACCTCTTTCATATTTAATGCACCCACCCTTATTATATATCAATATTATATTCAGGGGAAACAGGGCTTTCATTTAATATTAAATATTTAGCTATGAAACATTTAATATGAAAAAAATGGGAGAAAATAAATTTTATTTTTTTAGTTCTACATGACATCTGATCACTGGCTATGTCTTTTTAAAGTTATATATAATGTGTGTGTTTGGAAGTATTTGTGTGTGTGTGTTACAGTGTGTTGGGGGGTGCTGTGTGTGCGCACTGTGTGTTGGGGGGCATTTGCCCGGGGTGCCCGAAGGCCAGTCCGGGCCTGATCACTGGCCATGTCTTTTTAAAGTTACATACATGACAAATTCTGCATTTAACAATTGACCTTAAAAAACATCTATTTAAAATATTTTAATGAGCCTTTAAAATTGAATATAAATTATAAATAACTGAACTGCTCCATTCCTTTTAATAATTTTGTAGCCCGCCTCTGCACATTTTTTAGTGCCTTAATATCCTTCTTTAGAACAGGTGCCCAAAACTGCACAGCATATTCAAGGTGTGGTCTTACCAGTGATTTATAAAGAGGCAAAATTATATTTCCATCCAGAGCATTAATGCCCTTATTTATACATGACAAAACCTTACTGGCCTTAGCCACTGCTTATTGACATTGTATATTGTTGCATAGTTTGTTGTCTCTATAACAATTCCCAAATTCAGTACAGTTTAGAGTGTAAATTGCTTTCAATTTCAAAGTCCATTGTATTATGCAGGTGATAGGGAACTATCCAAGGGCAGGTTTAACAATCTCTTACTGCCCTCTGATTCCACTTTTTGGACATGTTGTTGTAATGAACCCCTGTGGCTGAGTGGGAGCTGGGTAGGTATCACTCCTCCTGTGCTAGATTATCCACTGTGTATTAGATGCACGATGGCATCCATTTTGGGAATGTGTTTAGTGCATTGGTTTACGCCACTTGCAATATTCAAGGTGCAGGGCACATACAGCTGTATTTGAGTATTGTCCTGTACGTTCACAGTTGAGTCTGAACAAAGGCAGGGTGAGCAGGTAGTGAGGTAAAGGTAACTAATACATTATCTGCCGGTATTTACAACAAACAAAAAATATTAGAATTCTGTAGTGCACGGATGAGTTTGCTAATTCTGAGCAGGGAATAATCAGCTGTTCACCCCCATACAGATAGGTGGGGATCAGCAGAGCTAGGAATTACAGCTGCTGCCATTTTTACGTAGTTTGTTCCCAAGCCTAATCGATGGGGCGGCTAAAATAGCTCCCTCTGACTATTGCTCAGTAACCATCTCTGCCCTATTATTATTATTATTGGTATTTATATAACGGCAGTTTATTCCGCAGCGCTTTACAATAAAAGAAGAATTTACCAAACGAGACAATAACATAGTGTAACAGGAACAATAGGTAATCCAACGAACTTACAGTCTATAGAGTATACCGAGCTGTTTATATCGCTTACAGAGAGACCCCTGTGTCTGTCCATATATCCAGCTGTCTATTATAATTCCTGGTATTTAGCGCTTTACAATATTACAAAAGGAGAACTGTAACAATAAAGAGACAGTTACAAAATTTTACAGGAACAATAGGTGGTTGAGGACCCTGCTCAGACGAGCTTACAATCTAGATACCCTAACACCAACACTACACAAAAATCGAACGTATTCCTACTTTAACACATGCTAACAGACGCAAACATTTGGAAATGTCTAAATATGAATGTCCCTCAAACTTAAACAAGGTTATTTATTCACTGCATGAAAATGTCAGAGATTTAAAGTTTCAATAGGCAAACTAAAAGCTTAAATAACTCTCAACGAGTGCATGTGATTATGTGCTTTAATGAAACAGACAGTGGAAAAAAACAGCAGCTCTAATTTAAGGGTGAAGGAATAGTATCTGTCCCTCACCCTTATTTGCACAAAAAGAAACCATTTACAAGTGATTGACTTATAAATTCAAAAAGTGGGGCGCTGGAAAAGTGCCTGCAATGATTTTCTTACCCCTAATATAAAATTTTATGAATCTTGGTACGGTGTAACATGAGAAATAAATAAAACGGTAATAGTGCAGATGGTTCTAAAAAGGTTCATATTATACTTGTTTTTGTTTTTAATAGATTTTTTTTATGTTTTTAAGCTTGTTGAATTTCGATGGAATAAATATTTAACTCTAGCACTACTAGTAGTCTGTCTGGCTCTAGGTTCCAATCACAGTTTGGGGAGTGTCACCCCATAATCTAAGTGTTCCCACCTTAGAACCAAGGTATCACAGGGTGGAAGTCCCTTACATTAATATAAAGGGACACTGTAGGCACCCAGACCACTTAAGCTCATTGAAGTGGTCTGGGTGCAATGTCCCATGTGCCTTAACCATGAGTAGGTAATTATTGCAGTTTCTAGCAGACCGCCACTAGAGGGACTACTAGGTGCTTTGACGACTTTTGGTCATCTAAATAATGCTGGACGTCCTCACGCTATGTATGAGGACCTGGAATGTCACCGGAATCCCCATAGGAAAGCATCGATTAATGCTTTCCCATGGGGAAATCCTAATGTGAGCGTGGCCAGTGCCATGCATGCACATTAGGTCTCCCCCACCGGCTGACGGCAGGAGAGGAGCGTGGGTGGAGTGTGATCCAGCGCCAAGAGACATCGGCACTGATGACTGAAGGGGAGGGGGGAGCACTGTACGAACCTATAGTGCCAGGAAAACGGCTCTGTTTTCTTAGAACTATAGAATCCCTCTAACCTTGCACTGCTTTATGTGGATATGCTACACCTTAATTCCCTATATCTGTTTCTACTTATCTTGAGATTGAAGAAGGAGGGGTCCTGCCTTAAAAATAAAAGCACATCTGCGTTATCATTGAGCCTTAACACTTACCGGTACGCTCTGAATATTGTGAGTGTAATTATGTGTTTTTTATGAACATTGCATTTTTTCAGTACCATCTGCACTATGTGCTAACCATTCACCTTCCTGATTTCAGCTAAAAGTCAAATCCCCTGAGACAGAACGGGTATATTTATTAACACCTGTGTACTAACTAGTCCTTATTAGTGCTCGTATGTAATGAGTACAGAGATAGACTGTAACAAGTCTATGTAATACAAAAGGCAAAGATCTGTGTTTTGATAATTACGAGCCTGCCGCTGAGTACGTCTTACTCTTTGTTTGCATATTTTGTGTCAATTTTATTAGTCCTGACCTTTTCATTATAGATATTACATGTTCCACGACTGTTTTGTGAATATTGGCACCTTTTAACTACAGGAGTTCCTGTAAATGAAAAGTGAATTTATTGGTAAAATATATATTGATGTTAGATTTTTACTGTGTCTTGCATGAAGGGATCTTTTTGCAATATTGGGAATTCCAACACACAGTAAACACGCCCACACGCTCATTGTTTACCATAAAACTTTCATTTAAAATGTGATTTAAATTGATGAATTGGCGGAGGTAGTCGTTGCATCATTCATCATAATGGAGAAATGTTCTGATTTCCCAACGAAGCTGTTGTAATCATGTACAGACAAGTCATATTTGTAATGAAATTTATGCCAAATTTTGTCCAGTAAGTGAGTAAACTTTAGTTTTCTGTTCCTAAATTAACTGCATGGGTGCTAGGTAGGTCTGCAATGGTTATTAGATTATTTCTGGGATTTTCCACTTCGAATTTAACTTTGTAACCAAGTAAATGTTCCAGCATGATGTGACTGCAGACATTCTACTGCACCTACTGTCGCTTCAAACTACTGTTATGGCACCAATGGATAAGAATGCATGTAGACAATTCCACCATAGTGCCTTGTTGTCATGGCTGCTAGTGTGGTCCAACACGCATAAACTATGTAAACATATACATACAAAAGAAAAGGAAAATAAAAGGACAGAGCGTAAACCGGACCTTAGAATGGCCGGACTAATACACTAGAGATAGAGAATGGTCAAAGAAGCCAGAAATACTCAGATACCGTTTAAACAAGCCAAGTCAGGGGAACCAGAATTTGGAATAACCAGGGAAAAGCCAAGATCAGAATACCAATAAGTCAGATTCACAAAGATAAACGCACTCTCGGGAACCAGGAACAGGAAACCACAAAAGGGCAAGGAACTAGAGTGAATTAGGGATTTAAATATCCCTCTCTGGGTTCTGATTGGTTGGGTGACCTCTGACCCCAGAATGTGTGTTGACGTCGTGACGTCACGGGCACGTTTGTATTCATTTGAGGGGCGGAGCTTAAGGTGGACGCGACCACGTGGTCCGCGCCATCTTTGATTTGGGCGCGATGCCCAGAGAAGGCAGAGGAGCGGCTCGCCGACGAGCAGGTAAGCTCGTGGTGTCGGCGAGGCCGTGCCAGTCGGGCACGGCTGCGGCATGCGGCGGGTCGGGAGCCGCAACACTTGTCTGTAGTGTCGTATATCAAACACGACTACTGTGTTTGCTCTTTGAGCCTCCACGAGAACCCCCAGTTCCTCACTGCTTGTCGTCTCTGGGCTCTTTTTGTACATTGCACAGTAGCCCTTGAGAGATATCTAGTAAACAGGTAACAATTACTCAATAAAATCATATTCTGTTTCAGTGGTTTAAACACTGTTAAAATTCAGAACAT